ATCACTTTTCTAAAATACAATTTTTTTAGCCTTTCAATTCTTTTAATTTTGGGTTTTCCTCTTTCCTTTCTAGTTTCTCATTTTATTCTCAAGAAAATATCATAAGATGAAATTGTTTTCCTTTCTTTTATTTTTTTTTTTCTTTCTTCTCTCTTTCATCCTTCCCAATAGAAATTTCATTTCAACGAAAATTTTTGTTTTGAGTTTGTAATTGCATATTTTTGGGTGAAGGTTTAAAAGGTATCAAAAACTAATTTTGATTTTTTGTATGATGCCACGTGTCACAAATTTCAATTGATGAGTATTAATCAGGTCACAATTTCATCTTAAAATATTTTCTTGAGAATAAAATGAGAAACTAGAAAGGAAAGTGGAAAACCCAAAATTAAAAGAATTGAAAGGCTAAAAAAATTATATTTTAGGAAAGTGATTTGAATTTTTTTTAATCATTTAAGGAAAAAATAGATCTCTGCAATTCCTCTTTTTTAATTTCAATCATTAAGGTGAAAATTTTTGTGGGAAAGAGGAAGAATTAAATAAAGAAGAAAGAAAAAAAGAAATAAAAGAAAGAAAAACAAGGTAAATGAAAAATCAAAATAATGCAAGGGCAATTTTGTCCTAAAGGGGGTTAAGTGAGCAAAATTAAAGGTTAAGAGGTAAACTGAGAAATAGGGTATTCTCTAAGGGGATAAAATGTGATTAACCCAAATTATTTAATTAAAAAGTTTTTATGATTTTATCGAATTTCATTATAATGTAAATAATCATATAAAAAGATGATGGAAGTGGAGTAGAATACGTGAAATTCGGAGTTGGTATGAGAAAAGTGTAGTTAGTGGATAACTGAACAGATAATTATCTGATGATTGTGGGCTAGATTGGGAAAAAATTGCCCTTGTATCAAGGATATATTAAGAATTTTAAACGGTGTGTTTACACCACGCATTAAGGCTTCCCCTTTATATATTGTATAGATAACTCTATGAATAAATTAACATATATAGTCCAAGTACGTAGCATGGATTTTTTACACAAAAATAGAAAAAGAGAATAAAATTTAGTTATTAGCATATTACGACATCTCCTTCAATAGCGGAGCCGCATACCTGCAATTGGCCCCCTTCTTTCCCCTCAAGTTTTACAAAATTTTATAAAAGGTTTAAAGATTTTTAATATTTTTAATTTTTTATCTTATTTGCTGCACCCCTAAATATTGCAAAGGCACGCTATTGTCCCTTCATTCCAAAGTTTTGTAGAGTTATCCCCATTGACACATTGAGAAGATTACAAATTTCACACTTCTACATGCATCTTCTTTTTAAAATTCTATAAGAATTTTTCCCTTATGTAAGAATTTTGCAATAATTACTTTTCAAGAAATTATTGTTTTTGTTCTAAATGAAACCCAAATATCACTTTGTAGTCAAAGAACGTGTTTCAATCTTTTTGAACTTAAATCACAAGCATGCTTTCTTAGTAAACATAAGGGGTAAAGATGAATCTTAACTCTATTCGACATTTTTCAGTTGACAATTATTCCAGTGCCCAAAGGATCCGAGCTCCGCTACTAATCTCCTATATACTCTTTCTCTATCTCTCTCTCTCTCTCTCTCCCCTCTTTTTCTATATTACTTACGAGCTAGAGGCAATAACAAAAAGATTATCGCAAGTTGCTTTCTTGCTGGATCAATCAAATTATCTCACTAGAAGCGTAATTTTTTTTGGGAAATTGGCATGAAAAAAAAGTTTATTTTTAGGTATTGAAATATATTTCGAAAAGTTAGGGATAATTTGGTGTAGAATATTAGAAAGCATAGACCTTTGACTGGAAGATGTTGAGATTTAGGTATGCAAATAAGTCGAACATAATCAAGTAACTCACAAATTTACTCGATCAAAATTCGAGCTCGAACTCGCATTGATCAAGTTCAAGTTTGAGTTCGAACAACTCGAACTATTTGATGAATTGAGTTTGAACTTAATGTGTGAAGTTCGAAAATTCATCAAGTTTAATCAAACTCAATCGAGTTTCATATATATATATATACACACATATATATGTTTTTTAATTTTTTATTTATTTGTATGAAATATCTATTTTGTCCCTTGTGTAAAATCATATAAAAATATAAATTTATATTTCTTAAAATCAATTAGACTCAATTAAGCTCAAAACAAGCTTGATTGGGTTCGCTGAGCACAAACTTAAGTTCGAGTTCAAGTAATGCAAAATAAAATCAAACTCGACTTTCAAGATCGACAAGATCGAGTTTGAGTTCTAATTCAAGTTTTTTTAACTAGAGTCGAGGTCGAGCAGTGTGGATTACACCTATTATTTTCTGACATACCTACCAATCTCTTTCTCTGTTTCTAATAAAGTCTTGTGCCTGCCTTACCTCTTAGTCATAATTCGTATCGACCATTTTCTTCTCTTTATTGTTTTTCCTTTAAAGGCATGAACGCGAACCAATTGCTCAATTTATCTTTTTAAAGAAAAGACAGCACACAACTTCTCGTAATATATATCCACCTTTGATAAGGTTTGGCAAATCAAAGACAGGTACATAAAATTATGGGATAATTTCAGAAACCTCAGTTGAACTGAGGTTTCTGACAATTTCACTCGCCTCCCCTAAAGTTTGCAAAGTAACACTATCCTCCCTTACAGTGTCTTATTGGGAAAAAATTACTCATATACCCTAAGATATTATGTCTTATCAAAAATTAATATCTGGTAATTAAGTAATTATGGTACTAATTAACTGTTAGTAACTAATTAACAAATATGGCTATTGGAGATTTTTTTTAATGATGAACAGTAACATGCAATTACAAAATAGTGTCAATTGACGTACCAAATATATGTTTACTCTCAGAAATTGATACACCAAATAGTGATTTGTCCAAATTTTTTGTACTCCCAAAAATCTTCACATTTGCCTTGTGATTATACTTGCAATATTTGTCGTTGATGCTAAAGAATGTAGGTGAATTTTATGATTTCCTCTTGTAACTTGACACAGCCATAGTTTTTGCACCTATACTTCACTTTCAACTTGTGAAATCCACACAAAATCACTATTTTCTCACCTTAAATTTTGTTGCTTCAAGTGAAAGTGAGATACATCTTAATGCTTCTTGTTGCCTTTATATGCAAAATGAAACGGTAAAGACCTGAAAAAATAGCTGTTGGTCCAGTTTTGCAGAGAAAGTCAGTTGTTTCTTATTTTTTGTTCTTTGTTATTTGCATTTACCTTCCCTTACTTTTATTAATATGTTTTTCATTTGTTTAGAATACAATTTACACACAAGCATAAAGAGAATTTGTGGAATAAAAGCTTTATCCCTCTCCTCAAACAACTTTCTAAATGATACTTTTTTATTTGAATTGATTTTATTACCAAAATCTTAACCATAGAGGTTAGTGTAATTTTACAAACCTCAAGAGAGATTAGTGAAATTGTCGAAAACCTCAATGGAGGATTCTAAAATTATCCCTAATATTATTCATTCTAACATATGCATACCCATTATCAATGTATCCGGCGTAGTTAATAACGTATCCCAAACAAAAAAGAACTAGATTGTTTTGCTTGCTCAGTAAGAATTTGTATCTAGTTTTTTCCGGTTCGGTCATGACTGCATGGGTTAGGACAAAGCATGCTTTCAAAACTATAGATCACTTATAGAGATTGTTATAGACAATAGATTAACATAGTGCTCATGGATCAAGGCACGCTCTTGAGACTACAAAACACTTATAGAGATTGTTACAAATCACCTATCAATATAACCCTTACAAACTTTTATAAAGAAGTGACTCGTTGTTATCAATTAAATCAACTTGTATTAGCCTCGAGGTTAAATCTAAGTTGGTAGTGGTACAGACAATCAAATCTTGGATGGGGGCTTCTTGGAAGTGCATTACAAGCATGCCTGTCTATGGTGGAACAGGCTTCTTGCGGCTTTGAAACTTTATCATTTTACAAGTAACATGAGCAGAACCAAAAAATGTTGCATGATCCAGGTTTCCTAATTGGGGACGGAGGCTAGAACTTGGTAAGTTCGAAATCGTGGCGGCTAAAGCATATGGTATTTATGGTCTTTTTCATCTCATCATGTTTGGACAGGAAAACCGCGAGAGACACATAGATAGCATTATTCGAGCTTTGAATTTCCATTTTAGTGTTCGAATGATTGACATTTTTATTTGAAGGAAAGGAAGGGAAAAAAAAAAGTACGAATTACTTGCACTGTATGAGAACAAGAAAAGATAGATAAAGTGTAACACTTCACGTTGACTGCGAAAGAGGGAAAATGCCTGGTCCATTAGATTACTAATAATTTTGAATTAATAATTTCAACATATGGCTTCAGCTCAAAAAGGTATTGGGCCAACCCATTCGAGGCAGGGGAATTACAAATAGTATCAAAGCGAATCTCACGTGATATCTACTTATGCAGAGTCAAGTGCTACATTCAATCGGAATCACTTCTAGAACTTATGAAACTAAGTGCCACGTCGGGTGAAAATCACCTTTAGAGCACGAATCAACTCTAGAATTTGCAAACAACTAAATTGGACAGTTAGCCTATAACAAGTTTTGTGAGGATACAAATTTTGAAGGTGAAGAGAGTTAGATTGTAACAAGCTTTGAGAGAACGCAAAATTCTAAAGGTGGAAAAAGTGTGATATTCTGCATCAAATGAGAAAGAGAGAAAGGAAAGGCCGTCGAATCCGTTACTAATAACTTTTGAGTTAATAATTTTGAATCCGTGATTTCAACTCAACAAAGAATTAGGCTAGCCCATCAAGCACGGGCGTTATACAAGGAGCCAACTAATTATCGATGTGACAATGAATTTAGGACCTAATTTTTGGTAGAATTCATCTAACTTCCTTACAACCCGCTTCTATCCTTATGACCTCTTTCTTTCTTTTTTTTGCCTCCTTTTCCGATTCACATCTTTGTAAATTGTAAGGGCAGCAAACACAAAATGCTACAACGCATATAGGGTATTCACATGAGACGCTTCAGTAATGACAAAAAGCCAATGTCCAACATCAGAATTAAGAAAGGAAAAAAAGGGGGGAAGGGGTGCTTCTTAAGAATGTATTTGGAGTACTTCAAGATGCAATTTTATGCTATCAAAAATGAAGCAAAGCTCCAGCTCCCTCCCAACTCCAAGAACTTGCAACCGCGAGAGAACCGTACATGTCTAAAAAACCAGAGAGAAGGATGTCATGTCACCGCTGAAAACTGGAACTGTCAAATCTTGAAAGAGTAAAATTTCGTGAATCCCTTCTGGCTTTATACAAAAGGAAAAAGGATTTTTTTTTTCTGCAAAATTGGTGCCATCTGGGAGGAGGCCAGATAGGTCATTTACAAATACATCATCTATAGTTCTGGTTCATCTGCAATACAACAGATTTCATCAGCATTAGCTTTCATAATTAAACAACATCATTATACGGTCCAATAAGGCAAGGCAATTCTCTATCAACATACAAGACTGAAATTGAAAAAGTAAGATAATGTCAAAGATGAAGTCCATACCATCATTATCATCGCCCATGTTAAAGTCGTCTTCATCATCATCAAAATCAATGTTCTGCAACAATTTTCAGAGTTTTTAGTGCATTTATAGCACACATATGCATATGTGATATCTGCTATGGAGAGGAGAAATCCAAGCATAAGGTCTATAATGAATTGCACTCCCAAAAGTTGATTCCCCCCAGCCCCTCAGACCATTCAGAAACAATCTTGATTGTTACAAGTACCTGATTATAATCGCCATCGTCACTATACTCCTCCTCTTCTTCTTCTAGTTTTTCATCTTCTTCCTCTTCATCCTCCTTCTCATTTATTTCTTGACCCTATTACATTTGAGGTGGATAGAAACAGAATAGTCAAGACAACCAACTAGGACAAACAAAGAGAATGAGCAGAAAAATGTATTCATCTTCCCAAGAATCTTTCTCACTTCTATTGTGCCACTGAATAAGGAGATCACTTTCTTTCGTTCCTGCTGAAAGAAGGAAAGCAGTGCTGAGTACAAGCAGTAGCATTGTTACCTGATGCTTCTGCTCAAGCTTTTCAAAGACATCCAACTTCTTCATGTCTGCCACATAAAATCACCGTGAGTATGGAACAAAAATAAAGACTCTATACAAGCCAAACAAATGAGAAGCTTTACAGAAAGTTTAAAGTCCTTGAAGCGTCACTCTGGTATTAACAACCTAGCAAAATCTGCTTCATAGGAAACAAGTTTACAATATTTTCTCACTTTCTGGTTTTTCCCGAAATTTAAACAGAAAAACCTATCCTAGGAAACACTTGCTGGTTACCAGAACCAACCAGTGAAAGGTAAACAAGTAAATACAAGCTTCTTTTTGGTACACTAGTATTAAATCAATTGAACTTGGTGAAAAGACACAAACACAGTAGACTAAGTTATAATTACACTTGATAATGGTAGAATAACTGTAGGTACCCAATAGATGATGATTCTGGCATCACAGAGACATTGGAAGAATGTCACTTCTCACAATGAAATAATCAGGTCGTTCAACTAATGCAATATACAAAACCACCAAAGTTCAATTACTCCAGTCCAAACTATAAGCTAATTGAATTAAAATGTAATTTAATAGATTTAAAGGCCTTCACTAAAGATGTTATGCAACAGAAGAAAATTTAGGAAAAAATAGGCCATCTCTCTTCTTGTTTGCCTCGTCAAAAATGTAGCTTTTTCAGGCTGCAACATGAACACTATAATGGGTTCAGGTAAACATACAGATCAGGATTATCATGTTTAAAGCCTGCATGCTGCAGTAACCAATTGGAGTCAACTTGTACATCCAATATTCAATCTGAGCTAACTTATACATCTATGGTTTGTTCATTAGCTCCATCAAAACAGCCCTTGACTACAAGAAAATTATCATTTAGTCATACTCAAAAATGCCAATTTATATGGGTTTTAGTGGCATTTTTTAATCAAATGGCATTTCCCCCAAGTGTCAGCAATACCGGTGCCGCTTGAAATGCCATTTTAATCTAATGGCATTTTTTTAATCCAGTGGCACAAAAGCATTATTATGGTAATATTTTTGCATGCCATTGTACCAGGAATTGAGATGCTAGATGATAGGGTTTGTGGATAAAGATTTGTAGAGAATGCTAGATTGAAAAATTTTCAGTCAGTTTCAATGTTTGAGGGATTTACTCTAATACTTATCACTTAAGAGGAGCAAATCAGGGAAGGAAACCTCATTAATTAGGCAAGCAAATCTCATCAATTAGTGAACTGTGTTTTTTTTCATTTTTATTTTAATTTTGCCAGAAAATGCGAGTAAAACTTATGATCCAATGACACTTAAGGTGAAATGCCACCAAAGTGTGCCTAATTTTGCATTTAATGGCATAGTGAGCAAAAAAGCCACTAAGCCAGCAGTTTCATAGAGTGAAGAAGTGAAGTTTTTCTGACAAGGCGCCACTAAAAGTTTTAACCATGGCATTCCCTTGAAAAATGCCATTAAATAGGTGCCACTAATATAGATTTTTCTTGTAGTGCTTTATCGATAGCCTTTGCTTCTTGCCCGAATTAGGACTAATATTAACAGGTTTATTTTAAGGTTGCTTTGACGCCTTCATCATTTTTGCAGATCACCATCATCATCGGTTCATAAACTCTTGCTTACTCCTCCCGAGTAACTAATATTCTGTTCACAAATATTTGGCGAGTAAAATTTGCAAAACTGATGCTTAAACTAATATGCTTTGGTAGGATACAGTTTAACTAATATGCAGATTATATGTTACTCCTCCCGGTCCATAATTTAAGTAACATATAATCGGCTAGAATGAAGGTAGGATACAGTTTAACAATCGATTGATAACTAATTCACCATTAATGATAGACTCTTTGTTGTTATAAAGAATTTATATCTTACTGAAACACTTCATAAATTAGAATATTGCATATTACATAATTATCCATGACGAAAAAACACATCTATTAATATACCACTTTAATTATGGGCAAATTAGGTAGAACAAAAAAGTAAGAAACACCACTACAGATAATTCCATAATTGGTATATTGCATATTACATAATTATCCATGATGACTAAAACACATCTATTATTATACCGCTTTAATTAAGGGCAAATTAGGTAGATCAAAAAAGTAAGAAACACCAATATTTAAATCATCCAATGGAGTATAGATGAATGACTAAGCTTCAAAACCAAGCAAATAAAAATTTTTAATTTGCCAAGCCAACTGATTGAAAATGACTCCAAAAGTGCACTGTTTGTTCAAATCTAATTTGCAATCCTGAGACTGCAGAATTGTAGAATGTTCTGTGCAAGTTTTATCCAATACTGCCATGAGAGACTGAAAAGCATTATCAAAAGGATTATAAGAATATTTTATTGCTAATGAAGCCAGCCAAAAAGTGTTAGCTCACTGAACTATTTCTCAATTTTCATGGCACTAAAATATTTTATAGATGAAAATCTAGAACCATCAAGGATAAATTCAAATTGATGAAGTGTCAATGATCAACTATTTCTCAATCATCACCGGGTAAAAGTAAGAAAAGAAAAGGCCATCATTTTAATCCCAAAACCATCTTAGAGCTGACCAGAGCTAAATTTAAAAATTAAAAAACTCAAAGATTAAAAAATACACAAGCATGAAGAAAGAAGCAACAAAGTGTATTCTCACATTACCTGCTTCGGGGTTCCATCTCACTCTTTTGGCACCATGCTTCTCCTTCTTCTCACCTTCTCATCCATCAGCACACCAAAACTAATATGGTAAAAGGCAAAGGAAAAAAAGAAGCTTGGAAGAACAACAAAAAATGATGCTTATAGTGAATGATGGGTTTACAACCATTTTTAGATCTCTAGAATTGACAAGAATCACAAACCTTTAGCTAGCTCGGCAGGAACATAGTCAGGCTCCATTCTTATGAAGTGTGAGAGTGGCTGTTTTGAACTTTTTTTTTTAGACTTCCTGTCTGAATACTTTTCTATTTCGGTGCTTTGACTTTCTACCAGCACAAGTTCAGGAAGAGATAAGACAATTATATCAATCAGTTTCCATAGTTCTAGCATCAGAGTTATATCTTCTGGCATCCTACTACTCCCAGAACAAAAATCAGGAAATGTGCAAGTGTTTTGAGTACTTACTCTTTGCACCTCCACTTTCATCTTCAACATAATAGGGAGAAGAGTTCCAGTATCTCTGAAATTTACTATACCAAACAGCAAAGGATGGATCAACTTTCACACCTTCTGCAGTTCCTAGTTCCTCGATTTCCTACAATTGTGCAATGAAATAACTTAAGCACAACATACAACCAAACCAAAAAATAAATTAGAGTTATTATCAAAACTTTACATTACTATCATACAATGACTATAAAATATGATTCTATGGATGATTTGATGATTTGCATTTACAGAGTTTAATTCTAAGTTTTTATTCAAAGAAAAAGGGGACATGAGACCCCTAAGCTCATGGTAGTTGAAGAGATATAAGACACATTTGGAAGTTACAGCATTCGACAAAATGTAAATTTCCCTTGTAAACCTCAAAATTCCAGTTTTTTCTCAAGACAACCAATAGTAAAATATCTTCAGGTAATTTAGGCCATGCTTGGATTGCTTATTACCGTCGGAAAATATTGTCGTTTTCCGTGATCACATTTCCCTATCACCTTTTTCCCTCACATATATCAAATCGCTACAGTAAGTTTTCCATGAAAAATGACGGAAAATGCAATCCAAACACAACCTTAGGTTTCAATATAATTACTCTGCAAGATGAAAGCTGAGTACATGTAGAGATCACCGATTCTAAAATGCCTTCTTCTTACCTTTCAAATACTTACTATTCTCTGCCCTAACACAAGACTAAACAGGCTAAATCTATTTTCAATCAGCTCAGATTCATACAATTAAAAAGAAATTGTTCACAACCAAGAAATTGCAAAAGAAAAAAACAACTAGTAAAAGCATTGACTACTAGGAAAGTGACAAGGCAACTTACATGAAAGGAAAAGTTACCGTAATAAGAGGCAATAAATTCAGTTTTAGTTACCGGAAAGAGATCAAATTTTTCTTGCTTAGCAGCACGAAAACCACCACCACCAAAGCCACCACGTCCTCGCCCTCGCCCTCTGAATGCCATGTAACAATATGTTCTCCTTTGCTTGCTTCCTAACCAAAAAATGGGACAAGAAGGTGCATCATTGTCTCCAATAAAACTGAACAAAAATAAGGAAACATACAAGGTACTCACCCGTGCTGTTTTAACATTTTTAAAAGCAACAGGTGGAACAATGTGGCTAATTATAACTACCAATAGCAAAATTTAGCTTAACACAGCTTAATTAAGAAAAATAGAAACAATGACTGATGAAAGTAGTCCTCCTATGTATAAAACAGCAGAAGACAGCTTCATCTAAACTACCAATGAAGTCCCATCTTCTTGAGGTAAAATCAATCAAAATTCAACCCAAATACTGAAACTACCAATAGCAAAATTTAGCTTAACACAGCTTAATTAAGAAAAATAAAAACAATGACTGATGAAAGTAGTCCTCCTATGTATAAAACTGCAGAAGACAGCTTCATCTAAACTACCAATGGAGTCCCATCTTCTTGAGGTAAAATCAATCAAAATTCAACCCAAAGACTGAAACTACCAAATTTTGCTATTGGTAGTTTCAGTCTTTGGGTTGAATTTTGATTGATTTTACCTCAAGAAGATGGGACTTCATTGGTAGTTTAGATGAAGCTGTCTTCTGCAGTTTTATACATAGGAGGACTACTTTCATCAGTCATTCTTCCTGAAGGGCATAGTGGACATTTAACACTTGATTTAGCCAGCCGGGGTTGAGAAATTCGTACGGGAGGTGAGGGCTGGCTAAATCTAGAGCTGAAAGGAGGCTTCAATTTCGTCGTCGTCTGGCCGTGAAGAAGGAGAAAAAAAGGCGAAAGGGAAATAGAAAAAAAACAAAGAAAAGGCAATGTTTTAAAACCCGGACCGTTAATTGAACCAGTGAAGTGAAAGGGTCGAGGTTCAACCGGTCGGACAGGTTCAACCGCGGTTCAATAAATAAATAACTATATATATATATATATATATATATATACACACACACACACACACTCATACATACATACCTGTGCACAGAATAAAATATAAATGTTATACCATAATTAACAAAAGAGCAATATTATAGTTATCCAACTTACATGTCCAATTGTCTAAATATTAGAATTAACAAAAAAAATATAAGTCTAGAAAACACTCAAAAGGTCCAAACAAGTTCAATTTCTGAGGCTTCTATAATCTTCTTCGTCATTCTAGGACAACAAAGCTTTAAAAAAAGCCACCTTGACAAGTCGTCACCACCATCCAAGACCATTATACGAATCACTGGCAAGTGATAAAAGTATAAAATTCATAGTAATACCGTAAACCAATTCATAGTGCAAAAACCAGTCCATGATCACTAGAGGGAAACTAAAAATTGTAAAACATACTACAAAATCAAATAACCATCTGCATATCAAAAAAAAATGAATGAGACTATATAAAAGGTTACTCAGCTCAAATTCACATCCTTAATTCGTTGATAAGAGTCCCCTTAATTCATTGCGTATACTACATAATCCACCATTTTTTTAAAAGTCCCCTTAGATTGTGCTACTAAAACATCTGCCATGAGGCAATATTAAAGATCAGATAAACGAGGGAAAACAAAATATAAGAGTCAGAAAAAAAACAAAGATAACTTGCATGAATTAAGAATCTCAAAACGTTGCTTTCCAGCACCTTAATAGTCATGGAGATAGAGGAAGGAGGTGGGGGGAAAGTTGAGCGGTAATTTCAGGGAAATTATACAAAGTTTGGAGTTTAAGATTCCACCATTACATGACAATATGTAAGATATCCCACTGATTTCTCTCGTACAGACATATGTATACGAAGGAAATTCCCAGGTCTTAGCATATTATCAGCAGTAGATGGCAGCCAATTAAATGGGGTTCATGCACATTAATCATATCCACGATATAGTGCCTAAGTAATTTATGGCTAGATTAATCTTTGGTGGTATCAAGTCTTATTTTTTAGAATGTTCTGTACCTAATCATTTGCTTTAGATGATTAACTTAGCTCAACAAGATCACTAAATCAGCAACCTTACTAGGCCCCATCAAGATCGACATCTTATTTGAATAAAGTTTGTCACATCCTCATGATCAAGCAAGATAAACCCTGATCATGGTCAACAAATAAGTAATCATGCGTGCAATCATCCAATGATTCAATGACATAACCTTTGTACTCCAGGCTCCAGAGAACAAAGAAACTGAAACAGAGAACAAAGAACAAAACTGAATAGCTAGTCTCGAGATTATTCTAGTAAACTGAAACAGAGAACAAAACTACCCAACTAATAAAAATTCCGCCGCTATTTTCCTCCATAAATTCCAACATTTTCCCGTCAAGATAATCTGGCAACTTATTTTTTGGGTAGTATTTAAAAATTTCAAAAAACCCAAAAAAATAAGTACAGCAAGATCAGAAATATACTAACAAAATTTAAAAAAAAAGAAATTGATGAGACATATATACAGAGGGCCGAAAAAAAAATTTATGATACATATAAACAGAGGGCCGAAGGGATCAAGTTTACTTGTTAAGATAAAACTTCGTGCTGAGCACCGACGGCAAATCGGCAAGTCCGCAAGAGCAGCCAAGCAGGAAGACCGAAGACGCCAAAGACTGGAGTAGTTGACTGAGAAGCCAAGGAGTCGGCAAAAGCAGGAAGCCGAGCAGTCGGCAAAAGCAGCGGCAGCAGCCAAGCAGGAAGACTGAAGACGGCGAGGAGGCGAAGAGCCAAAGACTGGAGTAGTGGAGTGAACTCACTGAACTGTGAAGAGTAGATTGAAGATTAGCCGATTAGGTTTAGAAATTAGATGACGTTCGGTTTAGACGTTTAGTGCTTTTCGGTCAAAGACTGAAAATTCAGTCAATTTTCCGAAAAAATAAAAAAACAGCGGTTTACGGTTCGATCCGAATTTAACGGTTTGAATGATTTTTTACGGGTTTGACCGATTCTTTAACCAAGTCAACACAAGCTATGAACCGGACCAGACACATGACCGATTCACGGTTCAACTGATCGAACCAGCCAGTCTGATTCGGGTTTGAAAACCTTGAGAAAAGGACGGCTAAATCTGAGAGGAACAACGCTAAATGGTGGAGAAGCTGGGCTTTGGGCTTTTGTACGGGAGCCAAAGATAGGGAAAAAAATAGAAGAAAAAATTAGAAGCACTTAAACCCCAAGTTTGGTCCAAGTAATTAAAAGATTAGACTCCTAATCTTAAGCTCAAACATCATGCCAAAAGGTCCGCATATTCTTTCAAAATAACTTATCAATTTTAATTTTTTTTGAATTTAATATTCAGATATGATATTTAGATATTTGTAAATTTTATGTAATGCATTTTGATATTTTTTATATATTATTAAGTATATGATTAATTTGTATTAGTAGTCCCTTATCTAAATTTTAGTTAGAAAATATACGGTCATTATTTGGATACATTTTAATGATCATAAATGTAATTTATTTATTTTCATGTATCTCAATTATGTTGGTTAAAATGATTTTAGGTAAATTAAATAGAAAATGGCAAAAAAAAAGAGTTTATTACAAGTTCCACTTAGTTAAACAAAAATAATTGAAGTGGGCATATTGTGAAAGTATAAATTATCTTGTATAATTAAACTTGATCGGAAAAAATTTAATATATTTAGATAATAAAAAATTATTGTTATCTAAATAATGCATATTAACATGTTTAATATCACATCTATAATTATTTAAGTAATGTAGGGATTAAGAGTTTAGACTCCTAATCTTAAGGTCAAGCATCAATCCAAAAGGTCCGCATCTTCTTTCAAAATAACTTATCAATTTTAATATTTTTAAATTTAATATTCAGATGTGATATTTCGATATTTGTAAATTTATGTAATGCATTTTGGCATTTTTTTAATATATTACTAAGCATATGATTAATTTGTATTAGTAGTCTCTTATCTAAGTTTTAGTTAGAAAATATATAGTTATTATTTGGATACGTTTTAATGATCATAAATGTAGTTGATTTATTTTTATGTATCTCAATTATGTTGGTTAAAATGATTTAAAGTAAATTAAATAGAAAATGGCAAAAAAAAGAGTTTATTACAAGTTCCACTTAGTTAAACAAAAAAATTGAAGTGGGCAAATTGTGAAAGTATAAATTATCTTCTATAATTAAACTTGATTGAAAAAAAAAATTAATATATTTAGATAATAAAAAAATTTTATTGTTATCTAAATAATGCTTATTAACATGTTTAACATTACATTTATAATTATTTAACTAGTGTAGGGGCAGTGTCAAATGGCTCCAAATTAAGACATTGGTTGGGATCATACTACTTCAATTGGTAATGACAGAAAGGTTGCAAAGTGCAATTATTGTGGTAAACTTGTACATGGGAGAATTACAAGGATGAAACAACATATTGCTCATGTAGCAGGACAAGTAGAGGCATGCCCTATAGCTTCAACAGAAATAAGAGAGCTTTCAAAGAAACACTTGATTCAAGGTAAGAATGCAAGAGCTGCAATACAAAGGAAAAAAGAATCATTGCGTCAATCCATCAATCTCTTGGTTGAAAACGAGGATGATGACGATGATGATATCTTCGAACTTAACAAAGAAGAAATGGAAAGTTTTGGAAAGAAAGCAATACAAGTGAGCCATGGAAAAAGTAGATACATGGGATTTATGGAAGAGCAACATAGGCATTCTATATCTGAAGGTCTGCGAACTATAGATTTTACATCTAGTATGTATGTAGAAATATCTAAGAATTAATATACCATTTTTAGATTACATGACTTGTTTAATAAAAAATATTACAATATTTTATGCGCTACATTGCAGGGAGCAATAGTTCGAAAAAACCTAATCTATTGTCCTCTAGAAGTAAAACAGCTTTTTCACAGAGTTTTAAGCTCAAGGCAGGAGATTTGGGGTCACAACGGGTTGGTCCATACATGTTTCCCTCCAAAATAAATCAATAAAAAATTTGTTTTCCAAAGAAAATGCCAAAAAAGTTAGTAAGGCAATTGCAAAATTTTTTCATTTTAATGCCATAACATTTCATGCGGCTGATAGTGGTCCTTATTATCAATCAATGGTTGACACAATTGCTAGTGTTGGACCTGGAATTAAAGGGCTAACAGCTAAACAAATTGGAGGTGAATATCTAAATAAGGAAATGACAGACGTTGACCAATACATTAGTTCCATTAAACACAAATGGAAAACATATGGGTGCACAATCATGTGTGATGGCTGGAGTACTCGGACAATGCATCCAGTCATTAATTTCATGGTATATTGTGATAGAGACATAATATACAAAGACTGCAAACTTTGTCTTATCCTTATTAGATAAGGCTGTGGATTCCATTGGAGAAGAAAATATTGTACAACTTGTCACTAATAGTGAATCTAATATGAAGGCAGCTGGGGTGCAACTGATGAAGAAAAGAAAGCATTTGTTTTGGTCACCATGTGCTACACATTGCATTGATTTGATGCTAGAAGACATTGGTCAAATGAAGTCAATAAAGGATGCCATCAAACAAGGTAGGAAAATTACCAGTTTTATATACAATAGTGACAAAGTGGTTAATCTAAAGAAGATATATACAAATAATAGAGAGTTATTGTGACTTGGCATAACAAGATTTGCTACCGAATTCATTGCAATGGAAAGTCTTCTTCATCATGCTACCGAATTGAAATGAATATATACTTCAAATAAGTGGCAAAAGTATAATAGCAGTTCTAAAAGAAGGGAAGAAGTTGCTGAAGTGTCTGACTTGATTTTGTCAGAAAGATTTTGGAAAAGGGTACGGCGGGTATGTGCAGTCATGGAGCCGTTAGTGAAAATTTTAAAAGTGATCGATCAGGATAAAAAAAACCCACACTACCTATTATATAGAAGGCAATGGATCGGGCTAAAATGGCAATAGAAATTGCAGTGAAAGACTATCAAAAACACTAGAATATTATTGATGACAGATGGTATAAAATGTTATATGGAGACTTGCATGCAGTAGGTAATTATGTTTGACACTTATAAATAAATATTTTTTAAACAAATTATTTTGTGCTAAAGATTTTCTCACTTGATTATTTTTTATGTCATTGGCCCAACCTATTTCTTAAATCCCGCTTTTGAATATTCCAGTACCTGTGAATTTAATACATCTGAAGTTAGAAGAGAATTGAAAGAAGTAATTAAAAGGCTTGAACCAGATTTAGAAGCGCAAGCAAAAGCAATGAATGAGGCAAACAAAATTGTCATTATTTATTCACTTAAATTATATTATGTATTTTTTAAATTACTAATATTCTAATTTTGTGATATCCTTAGATAAACACTTTCGTGAACAAAATTGGAGAGTTTGAAAGTGCATTTGCAATAAAGGTAGTAGCTACATCTTTATCAGGTTCATAACTACAATTTTGTTCTTAAATTATATTATGCATTATTACATTATTTTAATGATAATTATTATATATGCATCATTAAAATTATAATTTTTTGCATTATATGGTTTTAATAGTTGAATGGTGGAACATGTATGGTAAAGAAACTCCTAATCTAAGAAAAATTGCAATTAAAGTTTTGAATCAAACTTGTACATCAACTGGCTGTGAAAGAAATTGGAGTACGTGATCTTTGATACATACAAAACTTCGAAACCGATTGGCAATTGAAAAATTGTACAAGTTGATATTCGTGCACTACATGTGACTCAGAGTGAAGAATTTGATGTACAAAAATGACACCGATAATTTTTATGACCCAATTGATTTAAATCACATTTTTTATGACAATGATATATTAAATGAGTGGGTCCGAGAAAATGAGCCGTCATTGATTCATGAAGATGATTTAAATTGGTTGGATAAAGCCATCAATGAAAGTGAAGAGAAAGAACAAAGTCATCATAATAATCATGATAGTGATATGCCTTTGTCCCAATTCACAATTGGTATGAAAAAAAAACATAAAGAGCAAATATCTACGAGCAAAAGCGAGAGTATTAGGAAGAAAAATGTTATATCAAAACGTATTTCATCTTCCAGAACTAGCACCTCTACCAGTGGAAAAGATGATAGCAGTAATGATGATGATAATGGAAGGGCAAACACGAGACAATCTCAACAAAAAAAATGTCAGTGATAGTCGTGGTAACTATCATGATAGTCAATATACTGGTAGCATATCATGGGTTCAAGGAGATGATAACTATTATGCTAATCAAGACACTGATCATAGATATCGTCCTGGCATAGAAGCACAGCGGCAACATTTGAGCAAAATAACTGAATTTTTAAGTGAAAACGACTCTTTTTACAACTCAAATTCTAAGAAATATTCTGAATTTTATGAGCACATACAAGATTTGAATATATATCATTCATATGGATCTTATGATTCTGGTAATGGTTTGGATATTAGATGATTAGAACATGAGTTTAAGTGATCACTTGCAGGTTCTACTTCTTAAAACTTTGAATATGGATATATGATGGACCTGGCCATTTTTAGAGGTCCACTAGTGTTTCTACTAGTGGATATTATAATCGGCCAACTGAAATATTTCATGAGCGATTTGCATCTGATTCAAGTAGTATTAGCTATTATGGACACGATTATGGTTCATCTAGTAGCACCACTGATAATATACACTATTAAGGGTTCGATTACTACCATAGAGGTGAGGAATTTAGATCAAATTCACCACCTATGCCACATTTTATTCATGGTACATTTAGTGTGTCATCAAGTTTAAGAGATGAACAATACAATTCATA